TAATCTGTTGAATGTTACACTGCAGCCAGGTTCAGGATGATACAGGGTTGAAAGGGTTAAAGCTCGTAAGTAATTTCAGTATAATATAGTACAGGTTGCTTAAAGGATTATGCAGAGTTAGAGCAGTTGACACAGCTAAGGAGATTCCAGTATAATGTAATACAGGTTGCTTACAGGATCTTGCAGAGTTGCAGAAGTTGAAGATAAGAGTTTCAGGAGGATTCCTGTGACGGGACACACGGTGTCACCATAGAGGATCAGGATGTTTTCAGGAGCCAGGATACAGGATGTTTTCAGGCAGAACACTGACTTAAATGTCAGAACACTGACTTCAATGTAAAGGCCATGTGAAGAGTTAGGTGTGGCCTCTTATAGCAGACTTGGAAGATCAAATGAGGCAAGTGAGAGCAACTGAGGATTGACTAGTGGCTAGGGAGACCACTAGTGGTGAGAAACAGGTATTGCAGTAATAAAATAAAACAATACCTTGATTGTGAGGATAAGATCCCGACAAATACCTTGGGTTTTTGCTCCCTTAACTTGTACATCTAGAATGGCCCAAAACGGGCCTAAAAGATAGATACATAATAACCCACGTCCTGCTGGCAGCAATAAGAAGCATTATAACATTCTGGAAACAGAGCGAGATCCCAACCTGGGGAATCTTAAAAAGTCAAATCTCCTTCCAACTAGAGATGGAGAAGGAGTATTCGCCTATAGCTAAATATAGATGGGTAAAATGGAATAACTATATTCAAGGAGAATAAAACCTAGACAATATTAGTATCTTACATTTCTTCAAGCCCCCATATAATATGGGAAAATCCCTGAAAAACAAAAAATATATATAAATACAATTTAACTACCACTGGATATATATATGGTATACCCTCCACCTCTCTCCTCATAAGACCTCGCTCTCTGTGTGTTTTTTTTTTCTTTTTTTCCCTTATAGTGGCATTTTTGTATTTTTGTGTAATTTATGTCAATCAAGTATGCCTAAAAATCATAATACTCGAAAACTTTAAAGCTGTACCTTTTATTACATTTATTAAAGAATGAAGTTATATATATATATATATATGTAACGGAACCGCTTGCACCCCGACCGGGTAACTTCCGTTGATGGATGCTCCTAGTGCTTCCCGAGGACTCCAAGCACTCCGACAGTCACCATAACCACTGTACACTCCCACGAACCGCCACCGCTTGGTTGGGGTCTCGCCGTCTCCACCCACTCTGGACCCAAGACTAGGGTCCAGATCCAGTAGGTCAACCTCTCCGAATTCCAGAGAGCAGGAACAGGAACAAGCTCTTAGCAGAGCTTAGTGATTATACCCTGGGAAGTATAGTGATTATAGCAATCGCCAGAGCATAGTTCTTCAATCCCCCAAACATGAGCCGAAACTTCATGAAGGTACAAGATGATCTGACTCCAATGAGCGTTTATTACTCGTTATATACAAGTTTCCAGGCCAGAGGCACACCCCCTGGACCTGGTGGTAAACTGTGACAAAACGGACACAAACCAATGGGAACACTAATTAACATAACACTCCCACATACACAATGAAATCCCTCCTCTCCATCCTGGAGATAATTGGCTTAAGGCACTGCAGTAAGCTCAATTATCTCAAGTACAGAAAATATCTACATTTTACACTAACAGCAAAAATATGTAAAAGTACTTAAAAATACATCATTCTTATTATATTACACAGAACCCCCACATTTAACCTATCCCAGATAGCTCGGATCTGAGCGCCCAATGTAGATGTACAGCGCTCAGATCCCACGAACAAAGTAAATTTGCCATGAGGTTAAAGTTTGGTGAAGTCTCTTTTGACCGACCGTACGCAGGATTTCCTGCCCAAAACAGTTCCACAGAGTTTGGCTGTGCGGCCGGTCTGTTTCCAATGTTAAAGTCAGTTCACATAGAAAAAACGACTTAGTCCCATTCGAATTGTCGAACTCACTTCGACTTTTGCTGAAGCGTCGAAGTGGAAGAGAAGGTCAGGGTCAGCGGTGTTCGTGCAAATGAGTAAAATTGTATCAGTTAGTAAAATTGTATCAGTTATGCATTTTTTATGGGAAATGGTACATTTTGCTGTACGGAGAGATAATGTAATTAGCCATATATTCTTGCGCAATTATCTCTCCAGTACAGAAATGTATGATGGGAAATAGAGTCCACCCGAGGAAAACCCCTGCAATGCCATTATGGAAACCCCTTGCATGGGGACTTGTATAAATATGGTGACATTGGAATAAAGGCTCAGTTGACTCCCAAACTATGTGTCGTCTAGTTCTTGGGGAAAAGGGATTATCACTACACTACCTGTGTTTTACATGATGAGCCCTGACTACCAGCAGAGATACCGTGGATTAACCTACTACTCCGCTTCAGTTCCTATATCTGGAATCAGCCTGTGCACATCTGTTGGCAGACATATCCATGCACATTCCCTACACTGATCATGTCTCGTGAAGATATCCGTTACTTAGAACTTTCTGTGTTACACTGCATTGCTAGTTTGGCTCCTAATTTCGATTTAGCTAAAATTTCCATTATTTGTCTGATTATCAGTTTACAAGGACAGACCGTTATTGATTTTAGTACCACAAGTATTTCCTCTACCAAAATTTTCAATCAACAACTGATACAGTTTTTCATTTAATTTTATATCTCGGGTAAAATATCTGCAAGACCTTAAATAATGTTTTTTATTGCACCAAAAATAAATATTCTGTCTTCGATGTCCTCTGGTTTTTAACTCTGTGTTAGGCTTTTAAATTACCAAAGAAAGACTGGAACTCAACTGCAGGTTCAACTCTTTATTAAGTCACTAAAGATGATATTTCAACATGCTTTTGATGGTATTTAATAGAAATTGAAATAAGAAACTAAATCCTTAAGATCTATTCTTTAAAAAAAAAACTCTCACTTTAAGCATTTTAGAAACATTTTAGAAAATTGTTGATGAATTGGAAATAAAATTATCAAAAAGAAATTCAGTTAATTCCACTTGGAGAATATTCACTAAAGTCCATTTTTAGAGGAGATTGTAGAAGAAATATAATCTTTTAGCAATAGAGCTAGTCTTCAGGTCCAAGTTCAGAAGTGGAGAAAAATCGATAGAAACAAGGTCACAAGCTGATGTTTGGTACACAGAAATATCAGGTAAGTATAAGCTCAAACGGCAGTATTGAATCGCTGGAAACATTTGGGTGAGTGATTCAAAAGTGCAGAAAGTCCGACTAAATTGGCAGGCGTCTGATGTCAGACACAGAGGAGGGGCATTCGGCAAAACCTGGAAGTGTGACAAGGGGATCGCCCATCGCGGTATGATACTCTGTAGTATAGTAGAGGAAAGTGGGAGGGGTTCAGCTGTCTGTATCACTCTTTCACACTGAGTCCAAGAACGAGGAGGAGGGGTGTAAAATCTTAGGTCCTGTATCTGCCTAATTTCACAGGCCATTTTAACCCCTTCATTTCTGGACTCAGCCTTAATTTATCTAAGAACAAAGCAACCTCTCTACAACTTCTTTTTTTCTTTAGCAATTACAATTGCAGTTAGATCTAGACCTTAAAATGTCTTCAAAAATGCATTTATTAACTGATCTTCAGGAAAATTAGCAACAAGTCTATATGCACATTCATATTTTACAAGAAAACTCAAAAGTGTTTGGTTTTAGTATTTTTCATTTTCAACATTTCAGTGTCTGCAAAATCATTCCCTGTTGTTAATTTTATTAACTGCGTTAATCTGTCTTGCTCATTCCCATAAATTATTTCATCCTTGTCCTTAAATCTTACGGGCATGGTGAGTATACATGCCGATTTAGTTGACAGCCATATTTTACATTTTCTCTTTTTTGGCAACTATAAACAGGGGAGGGGGCCCTTCTTCTTTTGCTACTTCCCCATTGCTCTCTTTTTTTTTTGTCAAGCACCAGGAACCTCAGCTGTTATCAGGATTTCTAACTCATTTGGGGGCTGATTGGTGCTATTGTGTTTTCTTCCAACACATATTATCCTGGTTCAATAAGCGATCCGGTGACTCTATAGTATTTAAAAAGGGTTTGGGGGTTTATAAAGCAATCACCATACGTATTCCCCAGATACCATTGATCGCTCTGGGCTTAACTTACCTTTTCACGTTTGTTAGCTTCTGGCTACCCTGTAATTACCGGTCAACGCTTCTTTCCCTGCGGTATTAATGTATATATTTAAGCTGTTATAAGTCATTTGAAACTCATATTATTCAATAAAGGTTGCTTTTATATTCATTGCCTCCCCCCTCCCCTGAGGTGCATTAGGTACACTCCTGTTTTTTCTTGTTGATTTTTTTTATAATGAGTAAAATCTATCCTCGATAGTCACAAAAACAAACTAACGAAAAAAGCTAAATAAACATAGATATTAGCAGAAAGTGCTACATTTGTTACGCATGATTCACACTGTAACAATTGGTTTTAAGCATTGGTGTATTTGGTATAGGAAGAACAAAATCAACACAGAGCAATTAATGACTTTATTTTTCAAGGTTAATAATGTTCAAAGTAACTTATTTGCCAGTAAGTCATATTGGTAACGAAAGTGTACAAAGTCTACGATTCTGTATCTGAGGGATGACTTACGTATTATAAGAGTTTGGCAGAAACCCATTTTCTCGTACAATTTCCATGCATTAGTCTGGGGCAATGAAGTCTGCAGGATAACAGCCTCAGAGCCTCTATTTCGGGCAAATTCGATAACCGTCCTGCACAGGGCTTTAGCGATCCCTTTACCTCTGTGACTCCGGGCAACAGTCAGTCTCTGGAGCTCTGTGTGTTTCTCCTCACTGGAGAACGATGATGGGACAGCAGCCACTGCACCCACCACTTCCCCACCAGACTCTGCCACCCAAAATCTATAACCATCTCTCTGCAGGTAATATTTCTGGATGTTTAACATGTCATCTGACAGGCAGTGGTCAACATAATAAGAATAAACATATCTGGAGCAGATCCATATTATACTTAAAGCAATGACCACAGCCAAGATGGACAAAATAACAGATCCAGTAACACACAAAGGAACCAGAAACATGACCAGCATGAAAAGCCAATTTCGTGTGACACTTATGGCATGACGGAAGGCCATGTGAGAGTGCTCAAGATTCCCACGGGCAAACAGGCCCCTGACCACTTCATAGTCCAAGTCCTTGTACAGACGGATGGAGAAACTGGACATGATGAAACCCCTCAAAAGAAGAGAACAGGGGTTAATAATTCATAGGGTTTACAAACTATTTTAGAATTGGTATGGAGTGGATTGGATGAGTGTTTAGATTGGCATGTTAGACACAGATGGAATATTGATATACAGAGTCCTCTATTTATTCGAAAGTCTATGTAGAGTTATAATATATAGGAATTAATTCATGTCACCTTTACATATCTGAGACCTACCTTTACACAGCTTGTAGACTGGTCTCTCAGCTTCAAACTAATTTGAAATGAAGGTCTGTTATTCTTTGGGTTTTTCCTAGGTATTCCTAACCTGGTTTACAGCTCTGCCCTTTGGAATAGCTCAAGCCATTCTTCAATCATATTGTATATATACTGCCATAAACAATTACCATAGACCTTCAACCCTCATAGAAAGGTATAGTTCTTATATAACAGAACTGGAAGTGAAAAAAGACACTAGCATAACATACCTCTCCTTCAAAATTCAACTTGAAAGACTGTATCCAGTGTGAGATGCTGGAGGCATACGTTAATATCATCATCTTTAACACAGAAAACTTTAGGTTACAGTTAGTTATACTGGGTGGGTTTATATTAATAAAGGGACACTCCAGGCTCCCACACATGTTAGGTGCACTGTGTAGGTTAGGTTACAGTTAGTTATACTGGGTGGGTTTATATTAATAAAGGGACACTCCAGGCTCCCACAAACGTTAGATGCACTGTGTAGGTTAAGTAACAGTTAGTTATACTGGGTGGGCTTATATTATTAAAGGGACACTCCAGGCTCCCACACACGTTAGATGCACTGTGTAGGTTAGGTTACAGTTAGTTATACCGGGTGGGTTCATTTTATTAAAGGGACACTCCAGGCTCCCACACATGTTAGGGAGCCTGGAGAGTCCCTTTAATAATATAAACCCACCCAGTATCACTACCTGTAACCTAATCTACAGTGTCCCTTTAGTTATACCAGGTGGGTTTATATTATTAAAGGGTCACTCCAGGCTCCCACACACGTTAGGTGCACTGTGTAGGTTAGGTTACAGTTAGTTGTACTGGGTGGATTTATATTAATAAAGGGTCATTCCAGGCTCCCACACACGTTAGGTGCACTGTGTAGGTTAGGTTATAGTTAGTTATGCTGGGTGGGTTTATATTATTAAAGGGTCACTCCAGGCTCCCACACACGTTAGATGCACTGTGTAGGTTAGGTTACAGTTAGTTATACTGGGTGGGTTTATATTATTAAAGGGACACTCCAGGCTCCCACACACGTTAGGTGCACTGTGTAGGTTAGGTTACAGTTAGTTATACTGGGTGGGTTTATATTATTAAAGGGACACTCCAGGCTCCCACACACGTTAGATGCACTGTGTAGGTTAGGTTACAGTTAGTTATACTGGGTGGGTTTATATTATTAAAGGGACACTCCAGGCTCCCACACACGTTAGGTGCACTGTGTAGGTTAGGTTACAGTTAGTTATACTGGGTGGGTTTATATTATTAAAGGGACACTCCAGGCTACGTTAACTGTGTAGGGTTACAGTTAGTTATACTAAAGGGACACTCAGGCTCCCACACACGTTAGATGTACTGTGTAGGTTAGGTTACAGTTAGTTATACTGGGTGGGTTTATATTATTAAAGGGACACTCCAGGCTCCCACACACGTTAGATGCACTGTGTAGGTTAGGTTACAGTTAGTTATACTGGGTGCGTTTATATTATTAAAGGGACACTCCAGGCTCCCACACACGTTAGGTGCACTGTGTAGGTTAGGTTACAGTTAGTTATACTAGGTGGGTTTATATCATTAAAGGGACACTACAGGCTCCCACACACGGTAGGTGCACTGTGTAAATTAGGTTACAGTTGTACTGGGTGGATTTATATTAATAAAGGGTCATTCCAGGCTCCCACACACGTTAGGTGCACTGTGTAGGTTAGGTTATAGTTAGTTATGCTGGATAGGTTTATATTATTAAAGGGTCATTCCAGGCTCCCACGCACGTTAGGTGCACTGTGTAGGTTAGGTTACATTTAGTTATACTGGGTGGGTTTATATTATTAAATGGTCACTCCAGGCTCCCACACGTTAGGTGCACTGTGTAGGTTAGGTTACAGTTAGTTATACTGGATGGGTTTTTATTATTAAAGGGACACTCCAGGCTCCCACACACATTAGATGCACTATGTAGGTTAGGTTACAACAGGGCTCAACAAATTCCAGGGACCATGTCGCCATGGCAGCTAGGAATTATGCTTTGGCACCTGGGATATGTGAGTCTGTTACCTCGGAGGCGGGCAGGAGACTGGCTGGGGAATTGAGGAGGCGGGTGGCAAGATGGGGGATTATGGAGGTAAGCAACATGCTGGAAGGTAGTGGAGGCGGGCAGCTAGCTGTGCAAATGGTAGGCGTGCGGCAAGGGAGCTGTGATGTCCCTGCTCTGCTCCCTCGCTCGCCACTTAGTGAGACCTAGGCCGGAATATGATGTCATATTCTGGCCCGGGTCTCACTAAGGGACGAGCGAGGGAGCAGAGCAGGGACATCACAGCTCCCTCTCCGCCTGCTTACCTTTCGCGCGGCTAGCCGACCACCCAGCATGCCGCCTCCACGAAAATCATCTGCCTCCATGACATGACCCTCCAGGATGCTACCCACCTGCACAATCTTGCCGCCTGCCTGCACAAATTCCCCTAGCTGGTCGCCCACTGGACCCTACAGGCATTAAAACAGCCAATAATGTGTTACTTTATGCCTGTCCATGCAAGTGTATTCCCGTCAGTGTCTGTGTCATGGTACCTGTGTTACTGTCTGTGTCATGGTATGTGTGTGTGTATGTCTATCTGTCATGGTGTGCATGTCTGTTTGTCTGTCTGTTTGTCATGGTGTGTGTCTGTCATAGTATGTATGTGTCATAATGTGTGTGTTTAGGTGACCAGACACCTTCCATTCCATTTGCAAGGGAATGGTGTTTTTACTCACCTTTCCCCCCCGCCTCCCCATGCCGCTGGTCTCCCCTTGACTGACCCTGCTTCTTTGGCTTAGATTATCAAACTTGATGATCTCAGCCAATCCAATGTTTTTCCCATAGGATTGGCTGCAAAGCGCTGCACCAACCAGCATCTCCTCATACAGATGCATTGAATCAATGCATCTCTATAGGGAAGTTCTGCGCCTCCATACAGAGCGTGGAGACGCTTAATTTAGGTGCTGCACACTGTGCAGCACTCACACAGGAAGCACCTCTAGTGACCATCTGAGTGCCGCTCACCAGAGGAGTCACTAGGAAGCAATGTAAACACTGCATTTTCTCTGGCAGTGGCAGTTTTACATTGAAAAGCCTGCAGGGACAGGTTATAGACACCATAACCACTACATTAAGCTCTATACTATACATCAAGCTGTAGTGGTCCTGGTGACTATAGTGTCCCTTTAAAAAAATTATATTTGTCAAAGGAACATAAAGCTTTGTAAGTTTTAAAAAAAATCAGGCTCCTATCTTTTTTTAGCTGGCTCCTAGATTCAAAGCAAGTTTGTCAAGCCCTGGGTTACAATTATGCTAGATACTATTTGTTTATTTTCTTTTGTGCTGAAGATTATGTAATCACACCTATTACACCCCCAAATGCAATGTTGCTGTGCCTAGTGGCTGCTGTTTCTGGGAGGTGTAGGGAAGCTTTTTGCAGGATGAAGCTGACAATGAATGATATGGAAAAACTTTGCCAAGCTATAAAGTTAGGGATGTATCATACACGTTCTGCTTTGTTAACGAACGTACTGCAGATCCCGCACAGCCTGGGGATTGGTAGTAAATGCATGAACTATAAACATATCCTATTTTGTATTATTTTTCACGTACTGTTTTTTGCACCTGTTAATGTACCAACACTTATAAAAAAAACAAACAAAAAAAACCAAGTAGAATCCATTCAGGATAGTCCCAAAAACAAACAGACAAAAAAATAAATAAGTAAGAATAAATATCATCAGAAAGTGTTACACTTGTTAGGACAATGATAAAGCCTTTGCATGATTCCCACTGTAACAACTGGGTTTAATTATGGGTGTATTTTGTATGTGAAGAAATGCAAATACCCTTTTTATAACTTCAGTAACAAAATCAACACAGAGCAATTAATGACTTTATTTATCAAGACTAAAAATGCTCAAAATAACTTATTTGCCAACAAGTCATATTGGTAACGAAAGAGTACAAAGTCTATGACTCTGAATGTGACATATAATTGACGTATAGTAAGAGTCCTGTGGAAACCCATTTTCTCGTACAATTTCCATGCGTCAGTTTGGGGCAATGAAGTCTCCAGGACAACAGCGTCAGAGCCTCTATTTCGGGCAAATTCGATAACTGTTCTGCACAGGGCTTTAGCGATCCCTTTACCTCTGTGACTCCGGGCAACAGTCAGTCTCTTGAGCTCTGTGTGCTTCTCCTCACTGGAGAACGATGATGGGACAGCAGCCACTGCACCCACCACTTCCCCACCAGACTCTGCCACCCAAAATCTATAACCATCTCTCTGCAGGTAATATTTCTGGATGTTTAACATGTCATCTGACAGGCAGTGAGCAACATAATAAGAATAAACATATCTGGAGCAGATCCATATTATAATTAATGCAATGACCACAGCCAAGATGGACAAAATAACAGATCCAGTAACACACAAAGGAACCAGAAACATGACCAGCATGAAAAGCCAATTTCGTGTGACACTTATGGCATGACGGAACGCCATGTGAGAGTGCTCAAGAATCCCACGGGCAAACAGGCCCCTGACCACTTCATAGTCCAAGTCCTTGTACAGACGGATGGAGAAACTGGACATGATGATACCCCTCAAAAGAAGAGAACAGGGGTTAATAATTCATAGGGTTTGCAAACTATTTTAGAATCGGTATGGAGTGAATTGGATGAGTGTTTAGATTGGCATACTAGACAGATATGGAATATTGAATGTATGGTCATTGTGGGTGATGGATGAATTTCAAATCGACTGACAAAATGTGTTTTACAATGTATTGTGTCACATAAAAAGCTTTACTATAGTAAGAATTTAATTAAGGTTGTAATACAATATATGATGTACTATATAATGATTTACAATGTAACATTTGTATTATGACCACTAGAGGGTCCACTCAATAATCAGTTTATAGAGCTAAGTATGCCAAACACAAATGGTATTTCATACTTTAAGGACCAAGCTGTGATACTGACAACCCTGGTGGTCTTTAAGAGGTTAATAACGCCTTCTTAATTACCAAACACATCAGCTCATTATTCTCTATTATATACAAACACAATCCTCCCTCAGGACCAGTGGAGATGCCCAGGGGGAAATGTGGTAACTAGCATTGTGGGAAGACAAAACCAATATTACTCTCTGAGCGGAATGGTTGTAGAATGTTCTAGTGTTAAACATGCTGGTTACAGAATGTACAGAACCTAATGTACATATTTAGTAAGTGCTCCATGTACAAAGGAAGTCTATATAAAGTTATAGTATATTGGAATGAATTCATTCTGCGTCTATTCTCTATCCGTACTCCCACCTCTGATGCTCGCATTTAAGACTTCTCTCGGGCTGCACCGTTCCTATGGAACTCCCTTCCCGGCTCTGTTAGACTCTCATCCAGTCTCAGTTTATTCAAAAAATTATTAAAAACTCACTTATTTAGGAAAGCATATTCGTTAAACTGTTAGCTTTTCCTCTCTGCACCTTAGTAACCCAGTTGCTGCTTTATAAATAATAATAATTAATGTCACCATTACAAATCTGAGACATACCTTTGCACGGCTTGTAGTCTCTCGGCTCCAAACTGATTTATAGGACTGGAATTCTGAAGATTTTTCTAAGGCATTAATCTGTTTTACAGCCCTGCCCTTTGAAATGTATCCAACTATTCTGCAACTTTATATATACTGCCATAAACAATTCTCATAAACCTTCAACCCTCATAGAAAAGTATAGTTCTTATATCACAGAGCTGGTAGTTAAAAAAACACTAGCATAACAAACCTCTCCTTCAAAATTCAACTTGAAAGATTGTATCCAGTGTGAGATGCTGGAGGCATACGTTAATATTATCATCTTTTGACACAGAGGACTTTGGGAAGGTCCATCATGGGCACTGATATGATAAGAAGTCATGTTTCCCAGTTTGGCATACAAATAAGCACAAACCATTTTTTCTTCCTCTCTCCCTACTTTTCCCTCTTCTAACCTGGTGTACCTCCAGGTTGGAATCCCCCTCACATAGGGACTGCCCAGGACTGTTGAAGTAGAGGCTAAATACCCCCTTCTGAACGCTTGACTCTGACATGATTAGATGCCAAGTTATCAGACAAAAACAAAACAATATTTTTGGGTATGTATGACACCCCTGTGTTACGTAATCCAAATGTATGAACACACCCCCCCACACAGTGGTACTTAGCGCTTATTTAAACAATGTAGCTTCCCAGGTGGTCCTCCCAATATACCACCCTTCTAATCAGCAAAAATCTATATACAATATTGGGATTCAGCTGTGCATCTAAACCAAGCACATAGTGAAGTATATCAAGGTATTTAAAAATTCTGTGCTTATAGTCATGCACCCACGAAAATGTGTAAACCTTTTTGTATTAGGGTGCCTCAGCTGATTAAGGCTGAGGGGCTATCACCTTCTTGACCTCCTTTCACCAATGGTATTGTCCACTGTCAGCAAAGTAATGAAATAATTCCTCACAATAATTTTGAATTGTATATTGCATGTAAATTAACATAAAATAACAAATAAAATGTATAATATTTTAAAATTGGTCCAACCCGTTACCTTCACCTTAGTGGACTTCATCAGGGTAATATGAATAAAATGCAAATGCTCACAAACACTGCTCACAAATACAACCCTGCAAGGATGGTCAAATCATAAGCATCATTGGCTACAGATGGGGATCTACCTTTTGTCCAACCTCGTATCAAAATTTGTCTTGCACCACGGCCCTCTTTACATTACCTCTGCCACTGTTGTAATGTATGTTAATAGTATTTATGTATAGTTACAAATATTTTGTAGATAGAATCTGATTGGCAAACTTTTCAATTCTGGCTTTTGCATTTCCTCCCCATAATAACCTTTAGATTGAAAACTCATGGGATCTCAAGTTAAGTAATTTGTATAAAATCGCTTTAATCATTGCCTCTTAGCTCTCTGACAAGGTGCTTTTTGTCTATTGTACAGCTTTGCATAATAACTCATTCTTCCAATTTGTGCTACAATGTAATTACAGGACCCACCATGTGACTTGCTAAAAGAACTAAACTGGCTGTTGCTGGAATCCAGACGCACCCTTTATCTTTCCAGCCTTGTGTTTAAGAGCTTTTCTGGGAAGCTCCCACCCTACCTGAGAAGAATGCTCTTCCCGGCTGTTCCCACCTCCTATAACCTCCGATCCAGTACCAGCACTTTATTTAGTCTACCTCAATACAAAAAGAAAGCAGCCCGATCCTCCTTCTCCTATAGAGCACCGCAATTATGGAACGACCTCCCACATACTTTTAAATCTTCCCTAAGCCTAGAGTCATTTAAGAGATCCTCTCTACATACCTTAAATCAGAATGCACCTGTCATGGTTGATTATATATTTCCTACCTGTTCTATGTTAAATTTTGTATATATTGTGTATTAATATTGTTTGTGTATTTTATTGTACCCTAATGTAACAATGCAATGATTTGTGGACCCAGGACATACTTAAAAACGTGAGAAATCTCAATGTATCTTTCCTGGTAAAATATTTTATAAATAAATAAATATGTTGGCAATTTATAAATGCCAGTAATAATAATAATAATAATAATAATAATAATAATAATAAAAAAAGCATGTGTACTATTTGTATCATTGCACTTAACTTGTAATTAGTAATGAATGCGTTAAACCTTGACAGAGCATGTTTCTACATGTCATTGCTTTCTAAATCTTCCTGCAGATTATACCTAACCAAAATAATGATCTATCTTCTATGCTGGAAGATGTCTCCATGCACCTATTACCTTTTTTTTTTTTTTTTGGAATAAAACCATTTCCTCATTATGTTACTGAGCTTAAAACATATGGCATTACACTTTCCATGTAATCTTTTAAAGAATCAAACGCTACACTGTGCTGTCATCACAATGTGCGGGAATAGAATGCAATGTGTATTTACCAGTAAATTAGTGAATAATAGGATTATTGTATAATTAGAATATTCATAGACTGTTACAGTGGAACAGAGTGACTGTGACTGGCCCTTTAAACACTTTACTACAATAATCGAGTATAAATGGTTTTATTTTAATGCATTTTGCAGCAGTAAGTCCACTAAGCCCTCATTTATACTCTAGTTATGATTACCAGCCTGTAGCGATGAACAAATTTTTCTCACAGAAGTCACTAGTCACTGATATAATGGCTGCAAGTTTGCTAAAAATGTCAGGTCACCCCCTGCTTTCAAACAGTAAAGGAGCATTCAATGGGTCATAACATTATTTCAGCAAGGGAGGGGGAGGAGTAAATGGACTCTACAACTTTACCGTCAGCATTGCATTGGCGGTTCAGAGATTGATAAACTACCACAGTAGTTTGAAATACCTTTACCTTAGAAATATATGATTTCTGTATTTAATGTATGTGGGCATTTAGCTAAATACTGACTTTCTTTTTATATTCTGTTGCCATTTCCAGTAAGCTGTACTGCTAGTATACCGTCAGGGTCCTTACAAATACCGAAAAGCACATTTTATTACCATTTTATTATTTATTTACTTTTAAATCACACCTACTCTATGTGAGAAGTAAATGAAATGTTGCTTTAATACTAGAATTTCAGACCCGGTGTTAAATATAGTACCTCCCTGGACATCTTAAGGAAGGGAGGACATGACTGCTGGCAGGGATAAGGGGTTGGGTCACAAGGGGATACATTGTTACACATGGGGGGACATTAAGATGGGGAAAAAGGGGAGGGTACTCACCAGTTCCTGGGCAGAGGTGTAGTGTTGCTAGCTTCCCCTGGGACTGTCCAAAAAAAAAAAAAAAAGAAGAATTTTCAATTATTACTATTTTCATTTGGATTTTCTACTTACCTGACTTCCCCCTCATCTGCCATCGGGAGAATGGCTTCAGCTGTGTCAAGGGAAGATGTGGTAGCCTTACTGCAGGCGTACCTTGCCTCTCATGCATCCGGTGCTTTGGAGGAGGTGATCGCTGGGGTGGATAATCGCCCGGCTCCTGCTGCAGCTTCAGGGACTTCTTCTATCCCGTCGGATGGCGGTAGGAGGACCAGGCGTTCAAGGCCTCCTACGCGCCTGTCCCCCAGTCCGGTGTCCAGACGTCGAGGTCGCCAGCGGGAACAGCGGATTGGCACCGCCAGGTCTTCCCCGGTGCGGAGTGGAAGGAGACCGGCGGCGGCCATCATCGTTGGTGGACAAGATGGCGGAGTGGCGGGAAGATCTCGGAGCCCGCCGTCTCTTCCGGTCCCAACGGCGGGAAGAGAGAGGACGCCGGAAGTGATTGGAAGCGTCAGCGTGCGTCAGGCCGCCGGACGTCATCATCGGGCGCAACCGGAAGTGACGCGCCCCGCCGGATCACGGGACCCGGAAGTGACGCGCTCCGGCGGCGTCCCAAACCCGGAAATGACACACAACGTCGGCGCCCGGTCCAGAACACGGAGTTCTCAGGGCGCCGGACGCAGAGGACGGTCGGCAGGAAGAAGAGGAGACCACAGGAGAGCCCAGACAGCTGGAGTCAACCCCTATCACCCTGAGGCAGCCGGTTTCGGAACGGTTAACCTGGAGCACACCTCAGGTCCAGCTGCAGATGTCCCTGGGAGCCCTTGGTCGGATTCTGGTTCTGAAGAGGAGGAGGTTTCGGTGCCTGCAGTTCCCCAGCGGTCCGGTGAGTGGTTACATTGCGCCGGCGTGCCAGGGACTGGGGCCCAAGATCAGGCTAGTGAGTGCTTGCGCCTGCTTAGGACCCTAGTGGCCACTTTCCCTTCCCATCTTACTGGGCTGGATACTAGACAGGTTCAGGGACAGGGTCTCCCAGGGCTGGCTGAGGGTCAGCCGCAGGGATGTTCTCAAACCCTTAGGGCTCAGCCTGCCGCAGGGGCTTTTCGTGCCGGTTCGGTGGGATGTCATCTTGCAGCGTTAGGTTTGCATGTCCCTATGGACGTGCAAGAGAAGATTTGGAGAGGTGAGTATGTGGATCTGCTGTCTTTGGTCTCTCCCGACAAGGATTCAGTGGACAGACCACGCCGTGGGGAGGTACCCGAGGCGGAAAAAGGTAAGCAGATACCCAGAACCTTTGGTAATTGGTTGCAGTCGGGTACTTAGATCTGATTTGGGGGGCCTACAAAATTTATGGCGGGCAATGCTGGTATCGCTATGACCAGCAATTCCGACAAAAGATGGCGGTGTGCCCGGGTATGGATTTCGCCGCGCAGGATGGCAGTCTATGGCTGTTACTTATGACTCCCAGTAGACCATCCCCCTTTCCCGGGCCTGCCGGAGGTAACTCCGGCTCCTCAGCAGGGCAGAGAAAAGGTGTGTGTTGGCTCTTTAATGAGAGCCACTGCCGCTGGTATAGCTCCTGCAGGTTTCGCCATGAGTGTGCACACTGCGGGGGAGCCCACCCCGCGGTGCGCTGCTTCCGAAAGGGGAAGCCAGTTTCGGGAAAGGGTCCCTCTCGAGATGACGTACCTAGGGGAGAGGACGCCGGTGGACGCCCTAAGGATGCTCCCGTGGCTCGCCCGGTATCATAGGGGTCGCGATGCTCAGACATTGTTTGATGGTTTTCAGGTAGGTTTCTGGATCCCTTTTGTTCCCTCTTCTTTCCCTCAGTTCGCGGACAATCTCCGCTCGGTTAAGGGCAAAGAAGATATTTTACAGCACAAATTGCAGGTGGAGGTGCAGGCGGGTCGCATGGCTGGCCCGTTTAGTGCGCCACCTTTTCCTAACCTGAGGGTCTCCCCTCTGGGATTGGTTCCCAAAAAGGACCCAGGTTCCTTTCGTTTGATCCAGCACCTATCCTACCCGTCGGGTGAATCGGTAAATGATGCCATTGGCAAGGACATCTGTCGCGTGCGATATGCATCATTTGATAGGGCTTTGGAATTAGTTCGTCGGGCCGGGCAAGGTGCTTTGTTGGCAAAATCTGACATAGCATCGGCTTTCCGTCTGTTGCCAGTTCACCCATCCTGTTTTCACTTGCTAGGCTGTTTTTTTTTTTTTTTCAAGGGGTTTTTTACTACGACATGTGTTTGCCCATGGGTTGTTCTATTTCTTGTTTTTATTTTGAAATGTTTTCCTGTTTTCTCGAATGGGTAACGCTACAGGAGGCGGGTTTAGTGTCTGCTACTCACTACTTGGATGACTTCCTTTTCGTTGGCCCTCCGGGTTCGGGTGAGTGTGAGCGGCTTTTGCAAACGTTTCGGGCTGTCATGGGATATTTCGGGGTCCCCGTTGCAGAGGCTAAGACGGTGGGCCCGGTTCGGGTTTTGTCGTTTTTGGGGATTGAGATCGACTCTGTCGGTATGGTTTTTAGGCTGCCGGAAGAGAAGGTGTCGGTTCTCTTGCGGACGATCGACCTGGTTCGAGGGGCGAGGAAGGTGCAGTTGCGGCAAATGCAGGTGCTTCTGGGGCACTTGGCCTTCGCTTGCCGAGTTCTTCCAATGGGACGTGCGTTCTGCAGGCGCCTCTCCTTGTCCACGGTAGGGGTTCGGGAGCCTTTTCATTTTATCCGAGTCACGCGGCGTCTGCGCGCGGACCTCCAAGTTTGGAGCTCCTTTTTGGAGCGCTACAATGGACGCTCCTGCTGGTTGCTGGAGGCTGCGTCTAACTCGGAGTTGAACCTCTTCACGGACGCATCCAGCTCCGTGGGTTTTGGGGCATATTTTCAGGGTAAGTGGTGCGCTGAGGTATGGCCAGCTCGATGGCGGGGTTTGGATGTTATGCGTAACCTGACGTTTTTGGAGTTGTTTCCCATTGTTGTTTCTCTGGAGCTCTGGGGGGAGGTTTTGGCCAACAGGACTGTTGTTTTTCACACGGACAACATGAGTGTTGTCCATGTGATAAACCGTTCCACCTCCAGTTCCCCTCCAGTTCTCGCGCTACTGCGACGGTTGGTACTTCTTTCCTTAAAGTTCAATGTTTGGATTAGAGCTTGTCATGTCCCGGGTGTTGACAACGTGGTAGCTGACTCTCTTTCTCGGTTTCAGTGGGACCGTTTTCGGGAGTCGGCGCCAGCCGCGGAGGCTGTGGGTATCCGATGTCCGGTTTCCTTATGGGAGATCGATTTGGAGGATTGAGGAGCTTGGTGTCGGACTCCTTAGCTGACTCTACCTGGAAGGCATATCAAGCCGTCTGGCGGACGTGGCTGTCCTCGTTTTCGCAGGACCTGATGCTGGGGTCGGAGTCCGGGCGCTTGGAGGCGACTCTGCTACTGTTGGAGTCCATGTTTGCGCAGGGTAAGTCTTGTTCTGCGGCCGAGAAGGCTTTGAGCGCCCTATCCTTTCTTTGTCGGTCTATGGGTTGGCAAGACGTTTCTCGGTGGTTCGGTATACAGCGGGTTATTCGGGGTTGGAGACTTAGAAGGGCCCCGGACCGCCGCCTCCCGGTGTCGGCTGACTTGCTGGGACGGATCCTGGCGGCTATGGGGGCGGTTTGTTTCTCAGACTATGAAGCCTCATTATTTCGGATTGCATTTGCTTTTTGTTTTTTTGGAGCTTTTAGGGTGGGCGAGTTGGTGGCACGCAACCGTTGGGCGGTGGGGCCGCTGCTCATGGCGGATATCCGGTGGTCCGAGGACTACGTGGATGTTTGCATACGGCGTTCCAAGACAGACCAGGTAGGTAGGGGTTCATGGGTGCGTATTGGTGCCACGAGAGGTAGGTTTTGTCCGGTCCGTCTTTTATCAGAGTATTTGCAGATTCGGCCGATGTGGTGCCTCTCCTTTCTGGTTCATAGGGATGGGTCCCCCCTTACACGTTATCAGTTCTCAGCTAGGTTCCGTGCTGCCTTGGTTGCATGCGGGGTGAATCCTCGCCATTATTCTACTCATTCTTTTCGGATAGGGGCGGCCACCCAGGCTAGTTTGTGGGGTTTCTCGGACGCAGCGATTCAGCGCTTGGGTAGATGGGGTTCACGGCGCTTCAGGTCCTATGTCAGACCTCATTTACTATAATTCAATCTCTCCGTAGGTCCTCGGCCCCGCTGCATTTGGATACTGGGATATTCCTACGTTTATTGGGCTGCGCGGCGAGCTGAGGAGCGTCCATACGGGAGGAATTTGGGTTTTTCCTACGAGATAGCCAGGTTAAGGTGGAGGGGTATTAGGGGTATGTTGTGGCAGCAGCTGTATTCGGAGTGCGTATCCCTTCGTAGGTACGTGTCGGGGCCAGTAACCCTAGTAATTCATGCAGGGGGAAATGACCTGGGGCGCAGTAGGTCAGTGGACCTCCTGCATGCGATTAGACACGATCTGGCTCGGTGTATGGCTCTTTTCCCCGAGTTGACCCTGATCTGGTCGGACATAGTGTCCAGGCCGCGTTGGCGTTCGCTGCCGCATGCTAAGGGCGTGGAGCGTAGTAGGCGCAGGCTCAACGTGGCCATCGGAAAATTTGTCCGCCGGATTGGTGGTTTTGTCATTAGGCACAGGGAGCTGGAAGGGGACAATTCCGACTTGATGCGGAAGGATGGGGTGCACCTTTCCCTCATAGGATTGGATATCCTGAATGCGGGTCTTCAGGCAGGTATTGAGGAGGCGCTGGCTGCGGGGGGCGCGGTCCCTCCCAGGGGAGTAGGTAGGGAGGAACCGCGGTGGCGGTAGTCCTGGCCAGCGAAGAGGTTTGGAAGAAAGTGCCCAAGCGGCTTGGGGAGTCGCAGCCTGCTGAGAGCTGATGGCGGGGGCAGGCTGCATTGGACTCGTGGGTCTTTTGATAGAGCTGTCTGTTGGTAATCCCCCAACAGCTGACAGGTTGTGGACGCTGGTGATAATCGATGTTAATACTGTTAATAAAGCTGTGGCCGTTGCCCTTACCCATACAGAAGGTGTTGTGTATTTATTGGGCAACGGGTGGTGGGAGTTTTGGTCTGGGGTCAGCAGTCATGCAAAATAAAGGACACTGTATATTCTCTAATGTATTTTTATACAGGCTGAATAAGTAAAAAATAAAATGTGTTCATTGACATAATTTTGATTTTGTCTGCAAAGCAACCTATATACATAAAATTGCTGCGTTATATGTTTATATGCTAGCTACGCATCCTTTGCGTCACATAAATGTAATGCTAACATTATTTCTCAATCAAGAAGCGCTCAGTAGTGAAGGGTTTAAGGGACCCTGTAAGCATCATACATCCCTATAACCCAATGCAGTGATACTATGAATCTGTGAACTATGCAACCCTACACGCTGTGTGTCCATCTACAATCTGTTATAGCACATACAATACATCTACACAAAGGAAAGCTGGCATCCAGCAAGTGGTCAGTCATTTTACACTGCTCAAAAAAATAAAGGGAACACTTAAACAACACAATGTAACTCCAAGTCAATCACACTTCTGTGAAATCAAACTGTCCACTTAGAAAGCAACACTCAGTGACAATCAATTTCACATGTTGTTGTGCAAATGGGATAGACAACAGGTGGAAATTATAGGCAATTAGCATGTATGTACGTAGGGAATGTGGTGCGACTAAGAGTAAGGAGACTACCCCAATTCTCCCCCCAATAATGACAAACAACGAATATTGGATGAAACAGGCCACAGCATTTATTAAACTTACAACTGTAGGACTCATCCGAACTTTATTCTTTTTCTTTAATTCAAATATAAATAAACAGATAAACATATATAGATACCATAATTAACATATAAATTAACATATAAATTACACTTATTGCCCTACAGCCTCCAACTTAAATAACCGTCCTTGCCAACAAACTTAACCAGGTGCCTATGCACCAAAACTTTACCCACTGGTGTCTCGCCTCCCCCCTCGTCCAAACCAAAAATTCCCATCATCTTAAATGCTCTACCACCAGCCGGCTTTTTGCTCGGTGGGCACGTCCTATTCGGTAACTTAAAAGTTTACCTTACAGAGGAGGGGAGGTTGAGACCCACCATGTCCATCTCCTGACATTCCATCTGCTCCCCAACCCTGTTGGCAAGGACACGCTCCCCGCTAGCTGTGACGGAACAAAAACAGAAAATTAGGGTGGGTGGGTGGGTGGGTGGGAAGTTGTTTGCTGGCCAGAATCCCAAAAGGCACTGAGGTAAGATGATCCCTGCCCCACTACAAACCCATAACCACTCCCCTAAACACATATAGCCAATCACTAGCACCATCCCCACACTCATACATGTGCCCTTGTCCGTTTAGCTATGCTGACTCCCCAGGGCCTTGTATGTACGTAGCGGGGAATGTGGTGCGACTAAGAGTAAGGAGACTACCCCAATTCTCCCCCCAATAATGACAAACAACGAATATTGGATGAAACAGGCCACAGCATTTATTAAACTTACAACTGTAGGACTCATCCGAACTTTATTCTTTTTCTTTAATTCAAATATAAACAGATAAATATATATACATACCATAATTAACATATAAATTAACATATAAATTACACTTATTGCCCTACAGCCTCCAACTTAAATAACCGTCCTTGCCAACGAACTTAACCAGGTGCCTATGCACCAAAACGTTACCCATTGGTGTCTCGCCTCCCCCCTCGTCCAAAGCAAAAATTCCCATCATCTTAAATGCTCTACCACCCGCCGGCTTTTTGCTCGGTGGGCACGTCCTATTCGGTAACTTAAAGGTTTACCTTACAGAGCAGGGGAGGTTGAGACCCACCATGTCCATCTCCTGACATTCCATCTGCTCCCCAACCCTGTTGGCAAGGACACACTCCCCGCCACAAACCCCGCTGTTTTAAACCTAAAATCAGTGGGGAGCCCCACCAAAACCAACCAGGCCTGTTCCACCACTTTCTGCATGGCAAGACGAAAAAAGGTCTAGCCGGACCTTCATCACCCAGAAACACAGTAGCTGCCACATGCGTGACAACACCCTGTGGCAAACCAAAATCCCCTTACCTTCAAACACCTCGAAAGGCCCTCCAATTTTTTTTTTTTTTATACGGCAGCGTACCATGCACTGATTATGGGCCCGCTGCCAAAAGGTACGGGAATTGACCTCCGACCAATCGGGGTTATTTAATGATTCTTTTCTTTTTTTTTTTTTTTAATATAAAATCGTTTTATTTATTTATTTTTTAATTTTTTAATTTTTTTAGAACTGCTTTGTTATAACATACGACAAGTCCTGTATAACACTGTGGGGATATTTATGGGATAATAATAGTAACAGTGAGAATTGCCCACTAATTCAATTCTCAGATCCCAAAGAACGTTTATCGTGTTAAGTGGAATGTATTTCATATAATTAATATCACAATGTATAAAAATAGATTTTATTTATGATAACCAATAATTAACAAATAATATTATGTAACATGCATGACAATAATCAATGAATATCCAGTACAAAATTTATATGCAATACAAAGAAATGGGTATTACGTTTCAATGGCTAAACGGCATTTTCTGTCAAGAATTCTGACGATTTATGACTAGCTTCCACAGACTGAAAGTGAAACTTTTCACACAGAGAACAGAATTCCTCAGAGTGTAGCGTAAGGTCGTAAAGTTTAGCCGACAGTTAGAATAACCCTTCCAATGCTGGCTAGATCTCCTAGGTATTTAAGATCTATTCTTATGTAATTTTTAAATAAAATAACATTTAAACCAGTTTAAATTCATTTTCTTAAACCATCCAATAAGAGAATTTACCATTATATAAGCAGATTTTTAATTTGTCTAAAAGATATCTATCTTAATTTAGAGCAAATCAATACACCTGGATAAAAACAGCGGTATGCTAACACGTGATAATATCACATCAATATATAATTATTCTTAATTCCACCTGCAGAATGGAATGTTTATAACTATATATTCTTAGTTAACTAAGATTTCTTAATATGGAAATCTGACCGTGCTTTATCCAGTCATATATAATGCTATTAATACATTTTAATTAATTTAATTTAATTAAATGAAACCAGTATAATTACCAGTTGAGTAGATATTTCATCCGATTGGTAGTCTCTCTGCATGGAGGTGTTGGTTAGAAAGTCAGTAAATTCTAAGTGTTAGAGTTTTAGGAGTAGAGTGTTAGTCTCAGATGTTGTCCGAGTTGGAGTCCCCAAACTTCCAATTCCTCTCTCCTCTCCTTTGCATATCTTGCATCTCCTCCTGTATATCTCTATCTTCCCTTTGTCTTAACTTTTAAAGGGCCAGACTCTCTGTACGTCATCAGTTGATAACCCAATAGAAGCACTAGAGGTGTGGTTATCTTCCAGATCGCAAATTAGTTATTTGGTCTATAGAGGGCAGTCTTGTCCCACTAAACATACCTATCCAGGAAAGAGTTAACTTTTCCTGGTGGCTATTTTGACGTCATTTTGGCCTATCTAGATAGTGGCTATAACTTACGTATCCTTCAAAGATCAAAGGGTTTCTTAAATTTTGTCCAGACTATGTGTCTGCAAATCTGAGGTTTTTTTTGATATGGCAGATCATGAACTAAGTTTACCCTTTTCCATACAATGGTACCTTATATATATATAGACAGTTAAATTTTATTATTTAATCTTCTCTGTCACAATTGTCTGGGTTTAGATTTGATTATATTCTTCTTATCACTTGTTTATACTATGCTATGCATTCCTTAGCTCTGGCAAAGAGGCCAGTCTTACAGAAAGAAATCCTGTGTCTTTTTTGTTAATTTGAAATAACAAAATGGAGTCTGGTCTGTTCAGAGTGACTCAGAATATACACTTTTAGTTTCTATCATAGCACAAAATGTCTGCCGATATAAATACTCTGACATAACCCCCCTTTAGTGCATTTCATAGCCAAAATTAATTTAGCTTATGAATAAGCACTATAGAAGTTACCAGACATATTGTGCAATCACATCATTTCTAACATAGGCCCGTGCGTGGAATGAACATTTTTGTGTATATTTGTACCTGTAAAAGTTTTAAACTTTACACTTAGTACAATCAACCATAATATCATTATTATCATAGTACATTGTTTTCATTTGAAAAATGTTTTTGGGAGTTACATATGGTATGGCCAATAAAAAGCAAATCTCCATACGTTCCGGATCAATTAAGAGAGGTATAGCGCTCCCCATCTCAAAGGCCAGATTTAATTGCATAGGCTCAATTGTTTCTCCATCCACATTGGCAAGCATCGCATGAACAATATCCTTGGATACAAAATACAGAGGTATGCGTCCCCCTGCCAATTCGATCATTCCAGTTTGCACTTCGTCGAGAAAAGCAAGTGTGTGGAACAATATTGGGTCATGCAGAAATAAAAGTTCACGCTTAAATAAGTCATGACTTTGGTGCAACTCAGTGGATTTGGCAATTAATTCCGAATGCAAATTCGTTGTAACGACTGTGTCTTCCACAATAGTTAGCACGTCTTGGAGAAGTGTTCTTTGCTGTTGTATCACCTGATGAATATCGTTAATGTGTTGCTTTAGCACATAGATTTCCATATCCAGCTTTTGGACAGTAATAGAGTTGGCTGCAGACATTCCAGTTGCGACAACTGCACCGACAGTGGCACAAACTAATGCAACAATTATAGCGGTGAGGAACCTTTTGGATCGGTTGCTCATCGGAATAGAACTGGATACAAATGGTTTCCGGGCTTGCTCCAAGATGTTTTGCACATGGTCCTGTGCTCTTTGGAGGTGCATCTGGTACCAAGTCTGTAACTCAGGAAGCTGCATCGATGAAATGTTGTATGCCTTCTCGATGGAAATCTTGGGGTCCAAGCTGACGAACACACGTCAGGTCAGGATCCTCTTCTCGGTCAAGATGAACCCTGGTGTCTCTTGAATCAGGATGCCGGAGGATGGTCCCATCTCTGCGATCGGGTCGGTCCGTAGCTCTTGGCACAGGAGCAGTACGATCCAGAAACACGCCACATCCTTCTTGGACATCTTTCGACAGTCACGGATCAGGAACTCGTTTCAGACTTATCTACTAATGATTCAAGGTTTGTTAAGCATACAAACTTATAACAGTGTGACATCACTTGGCCTAGGACAACACATTATTACGATTCATCACATATGTATTCTGTCTAATTCTATTTTTATAACTTCATCCCTCACTACATTTATTACTGACTCTTCAGCAATTTGCCTATAGCATTTAAACAAGCTAGTAACCTGCTTATAAAATGTAGTTATTGGATGGCAAGGAAATGGTTAATGACATGAACGTACATGAGATCATGGCACATCACAACATTTCACATCATACTATACCACGTGAATCAAGCATTCATCCAGGTTAGTCGTTCACCCTTCTGCGTCTGAATCCACACCTATAATCCTTAATTGAGATTTAGGATGACAAGCACGCAACTGGTTAAAGGACCACTATAGTGCCAGGAAAACATACTCGTTTTCCTGGCACTATAGTGCCCTGAGGGTGCCCCCACCCTCAGGGTCCCCCTCCCGCCCGCTCTGGAAGGGGAAAGGGGTAAAACTTACCTTTTTCCAGCGCTGGGCGGAGAGCTCTCCTCCTCCTCTCCGCCTCCCCCGCCGGCTGAATGCGCACGGCAAGAGCTGCGCTGCGCATTCAGCTGTGCGGCGCATAGGAAAGCATTTACAATGCTTTCCTATGGACGCTTGCGTGCTCTCACTGTGAAAATCACAGTGAGAAGCACGCAAGCGCCTCTAGTGGCTGTCAATGAGACAGCCACTAGAGGATTAGGGGGAAGGCTTAACCCATTCATAATTATAGCAGTTTCTCTGAAACTGCTATAATTATGAAAAAATGGGTTAAGCCTAGAAGGACCTGGCACCCAGACCACTTCATTAAGCTGAAGTGGTCTGGGTGCCTAGAGTGGTCCTTTAATGTGAACCCACTTTTCAATAAAATCACCATCCTTAGGAATTTTTATCTTGTACGCTACTGGGGAAATTTTGTCAATAATGACATATGGCCCTTTCCAAGAAGGTAAAAATTTCTTTTCCTTTACTTGATTTCGCGCAAAGTTATACAGATAGACTTGATCTGTTATCTCATATTCCTTTTTCGTGGTTTTTAGATCGTAATAGGTCTTAACCCCTGTCGCTGCTTTTTCTAGATTCTTTTGGGCAAAAGCAAACGCATGCTGTAAATGCTTGCGCAAATCTTCGATATACTGATGCGTAGTGGCAGCATTGATCAAGTTATGATCCGAAGTACGATATAGTAAATGCTGTGGTAAAACCATCTTTCTTCCTGTCATCAATTCAAAAGGTGACAATTTGGTAGCAGTGCTAGGTGTAGCTCTAATCGCCATTAAAACTAGGGGCAATTTAATGTCCCAGTCTTTACCAGACTCCTTAACATACTTCTTCAGAATATTAACGATAGACTGGTTATATCGCTCTACCCCCCCGCTAGACGCAGCGCGGTATGCAATATGTAGCTTTCGTTTAACACCTAGAATGTTCCACATCTTAGCCATTACTTCGCTGGTAAAATGACTACCTCTGTCTGACTCAATTCTTTGAGGCAGACCGAACCTGGAAAAGACATGGTTAATCAACAAAGTGGCGCACACGGTACTCGTGTTCTCTTTACAAGGCAAACATTCTATCCACTTTGTGTACATACATGTAACAGTTAACATGTATTTGTTACCTCTTGAAGATCTTGTTACAGGACCTATAAAGTCAATTTGAATATCAGACCAGGGTAATGACACCCCCCTCTTCTGAAGTGGTGCACGATGGGTTGGACCATGGGGTTGATATTGCGGACAAATCAAGCATCCCTGACAGTATGTCTTAACATCCCTTAACATGTGTGGCCAATATGCATAATCACGCAATATCTCATATGTGATCTTATCACCACGATGCCCAGATGTAGGTGCATCATGTGCGTGTTGGAGCATTAACCCTCTGTATACAGTTGGGACTACCCATTGTTGTATACCATGTTTAGAAGTTCTGACCAGTAACCCATCCATGATACTAAATTGGACTTTATATCTCATCAAGATTCGTAAATCTTCATTATCTTTGCAATCCTCATCTGTGATGGGATTGGCAGTAGGGTCTTCTATATGT